ATTTTTTTATACAACATAGGCCTACTCCAATAAAATATCTAATTACTTTATTTAAAAACCCAGTTTATCATAAATAACTCTCTCTCTGTCTGATTCAGACTCGCACTCTCACTCTCCCTCTCTCTCTCTCTCTCTCTCTCTCTCTCTCTCACTCTCTTACTCCGACACGTTAAGTGGAAGAAAGGTCCACGAGACCTAACTTTGCGTGGTTAAATAACACGATGAATCAATCAATCTATCCCTCCCTCTCTCTCACTCTCTCTCTCTCTCTCTCTCTCTCTCTCTCTCTCTCTCACTCACTCACTCACTCACTCACTCACTTCCTCTATCTATCTAACTCGTTGAATCAATTTGATAAGAAAAAAATTAATCACAGAACTACTTGGTGGTAAGTAAGATTATTTGAAATCAAAATCTAATAATGTTCTGAATGGTAGATTTATTTTAATGAACCATTTCCTTGATATCGTCCACTGGCCATAGTTAAATAGCTCGTTTAACCATAGTAATAATACTTATAAATTGACGTAGTATATGAATTTAATGATATAATTATAAATAATTTGTAGGTGCTAGAAAATAGTTATTACAAATAATAGCGTGTTTTTTCGACCGAATAGATTTTTTAAAATAAATTTCGAATGATTAATTTTTGTACATGTCAAGTGCAGTCACAGACTAAATACGATCGATGATATGCGTCATTGTTGTCAAAACTCCTTCAGAAGTATACATACTACGATATATTTTGATTTCATCATAACATATTTTCATCAAGTAAAACCTTTCTGAAATCCGTCCAGCAATTGACCAATTTTCATTGTGCGGGAAGTAGCAATGTTTAGTTTATTATTCGTTATGTGTTATATTTAATAAGAGTATGCCGATGCATTGAGGAAAACGTACTTTTTACTAATTGAAGTCATCGATTCGATTTTTCCTAATTTTGATTTTTAATGTTTTTTATCTCTTTAAGAGTCAAATGTTAATAACCTCTTTCAGATTAACATTCCGTTTGAATTTATTATCTGTTTCTGCCAAATTACTAATTTTTTTGCGATCATCTACAATCAAGTTCTTTGACTCAAGTCGAATCATAAGGGACAATTAGATAAACTCTTACAGAAGTTGATGACCATATAATTAACAGAAACACTTATCAAGCGTTCTTCGGCGATAAATGTTAAATATAATGATTAAAGTAAAAGTTCGTTTTCTACAAAACTCCACTAAAATCTCATTCTTGATCATTAGAAATCCGTTAAGGGTTAAATCAGTATAGAAAATGCCTTTTCATTTGGTCAAATCGTGACGAGAAACTAGGCACCCTGGAAACGTTGAAGAAGGTGGCGCCTTGACCGCTACTTTTCGTCGCTTCCTGCTGTTTTCAAGAATTCTTTATAAAACAGAGATGTAAAAGTGAAAAAGTAAGAAAAGGTTTTTTTTTTCTTTAAAATGATTTTTAACTTTCACTCCCCGGAGGTGAAAAATGTGAGTTATACTGAAAGTGGTAAAAATTGTCTCCATTCATCCCTAGTTCAAAACGATATTTAATTACTTTTGTCGTTGACCCTGTATTTTCCTCCAATCATTTTGGAGAAACGGAGTCACATGTAAAAATATCAAGAAATCTATAGAGTTGAACAGAAATTTCATACTGGCATTTGTTTTAGTGCAGAGTAAAAATCAAAAATTGCAAATATCCGTTTACAAAAGTTATTGTGACCATACTTTTAAGCGTTTATAGATATTTTGATTTTAATTTGCAATATTTCCATTAGTTCTTAACCAATTTCAAATTAATATCTAATTAATAGCTTTATTATCTTATCATGACTTACAGTTTTGGCATTTCCGGCCATTTTGGTCTGCCTATTCTAACACAATTTGTCTGTCAGACGCATTTCGGCCCCAAATGCACCTGACAAATAAAATCATTAAGAGATTTAGAGTGTTTTATTGGCCACGCAGAATCAGGTCTCTTGGATCTCTCTTACATTACATCTCTTACTTAAAGAGAGAAGGATAGATAAAGTAAGATACATAGATAGATAGAGATTTTCTAAGATTTTAGAAAGATTCTAAGAGAATTTCTAAGATAACTCAATACAGAGAGAGAATGGATGAGTAAGCAAGTGCATGAGAGAGAGAGAGAGAGAGAGAGAGAGAGAGAGAGAGAGAGAATGAGTGTGAAAGAAAGAGAATGAGTGTGAGAGAAAGAGAACATTTCATCTGCTATATAGAAGGGTAAATAGATAGATAGATAGATTGATAGATAGATGGAGAGAGTGTGTGAGAAAGAGAGAGAGAGAGAGAGAGAGAGAGAATGAGGGTGTGATAAAGAGAGAACAGAGAGAATCTCCTATACAGAGTGAGAAGGGTAGATAGATAGATAGTTAGAGATAGATAGATAGTTAGATAGACAGAGAGAGAGAGTGAGAGTGAGAGTGAGAGAGAAAGAGAGAGAGAGGGACAGAGAGAGAGAGAGAAGAGAGAGAGAGAGAGAGAGAGAGAGAGAGAGAGAGAGAAAGGGAGGGAGGGAGAGAGTGAGAGGGGGAGAGAGAGAGGGAGAGAGAGAGGGAGAGAGAGAAAGGAAGGAAGGAAGAAATAGAAAGAGTCAGAAATTGAGTAATCGAAAGAAAGGAAGGAACAGGAGGAGAGAAAATTAATTCCAATTAGTTAAACAATTTCTATAACGAATAACTAAATAGAGATAGATAGATAGAAAGAGAGAGGGAGAGAGATATATTGGATGAGTAAGTAAGTGAATGAGAGAAAGAAAGGGACATAGAATAAATAGTAATATTAATTTAACTAATCAAGAAATAAGTATTATCTAATATTTTTTACTAATTGTTTTTACCTTTATTAATTTACTATTGTATGCTTACGCAACCGCTTAAAAAATAATAATAATAATAATAGATATCTTAGAAGATAATATTAATTTTATCATTTAGAAACATGAAAATAACAACTATAATAATTAAATATAATTCATGTTTAAATTGTTTTGAATTCATTAATTTGTTTCAACATTAACACACGAGAGAGTCCCGGAGGGCCTTCGTTTTTTCTGTGTATTATTTTTAAAAAAATGGAATAAATACGAGCAATAACAAGGCTACTGCCAAGATTAATTTGTATTTGCATAATTTTACTTAGCCATTTTCCATCAGAGCCATTCGGCCAACGTAGATAAACTTGAAATAACAAGTGCTCGAAAGCCTGCCACCCCTCTGAAGCATCATAGCTCTTCGATTCAAGTGTTTATATTGAACGGTTGAGGGGTTACAGGTTACGTAGCTATGGATGAATCATCATCACCTGCCTGTCAATTTACGAGAACCACCCTGGCGTGACCGCTCAGACAGGTATTCCTTTTGAAAATGAAACAATTGTGCTGTTCAAAAATTAGAACGCGAATCCGTACCTGATAAACAACGAAGAATATTTTGATGTAGAATTGAAGGTGGACGGGTGTGAGAGAGAGGGAGGGAGAGAGAGAAAGAGAGAGAGAGTGAGAGAGATAGAGGGTTCCTCCTGGACCAGTAATCGTCGGGTTAAAGTTTTAAAAAATATTACATCACGTCCTGTTACTAAATTAGCATTCTTTTATCGGCGGCATTATCCTAATAGGGCTTCTTGGAAAGAGGATAACAGTAGAAAGTAGTAATTACCGATCTAGCTCACTTATTATATCTTAGTGTCAAATCCGTACTTTTCCTAAGGTGAAAAGAAATTCAAATTTAACACGAGATTTAATTACTAATCATTAGAAAGAAATGTAATCTATAGTGCGAACGCGCAGTAAATCCTGTGAAGTCATAGCATAAAAGAAACCATCAGGGATCGATTTGGATTTTTTTGATACGCAATGATTGTGAAAATGGTGGAACAAACTAGTATATTTCCTGAATGCAGTTTTCGTAATAATGCAAGTTTTCGAAAATTTTCTTCAAAAATAACGAGCAAATATTGACAAATTATCATTGCTTTTCCCTAAAGCTGTCTCATTTCCGTTTTGATTCATTAAAGAAACCACTTGGACGGTCTTCAGACGACAAACTTCAAACAATTTATATATTATATTAAGAATCGGACTTAATCAGCATTATTGGAGTGGAAGTTTTAGTAATAACAATCTATTTTTGTAGATAGTATATAAAATTTATTATCAATAGTTTTTAAAGCAATGGAATACTAAAAAAACTGTAAAATCTTCAAATGATTTCAGTTTATACAAGCAACGTTAAAATTCTTTATAAAAAGGTTATAGATACCAATTAATTGAAAATTGTTGTAGAATAAATTTTTCCTGCGGAAAGTCATGGTGTCTGGCTATCCTATCTCTTCTACTCCGACTTACGTAGCATCAGATTCTAAAGCCATTTACATAATTCATCTTAAAATTAGGCATGCGCCGGTAACGATCAGCGTAAATGTTATTATGACGATTTTTATGTCTAGTGGAACGACAATTGAAGTAATAAACCGGTCGTTAAAGCCTCCAAGAAGTCAGATAATAGTGAGAGGTTAAAGTTTGAAATATATTTCAAAATTTGACTCACTTTCACCCTCGGGTGTTCTTGTAGAGAGCGTTTCTCCGCCCCCGCGAGGCCAGAAGTGAGGATATAAAATAAACAAGCCCTCCCCAAGAAATCAAGCACAGGCCGCCGCTTAATTCGACGAGGTGCCGCTTCGTAAATCACGGCCTTCCAAAATTTAATAATACTAGTTAGGTACAACGGTACAACAAGGGATTTATTACTGGTTTTATCCACCTCGTTGCCTTTCTCTTTACTGTGTAGGCTTTTTTACAGTGCTTTCTTTAAGCTATTGGGATGAGCTGTAATAATTTTTTTAAATTGGAACTACGAACATGGGTGCGTTATAATTGCTTTCTGTTTTAAACTAAAACTATTAACAATAATAGCATTAATTACTAAATGACAATGATTAATTAATAAAAGTGGGAGATATAATTAATATGTATTTACCTCCGGAATCGCCTGAGCCTCAATCAACCTGAAAAATAAATTCAACTATTACAATCACTGCACAAAACTACTATTAAAGAACTAAATGTAAATTTTTATATTTAAGTGTGCATTACAAAAATGAACTTCAGGAGTAAAATATTGTTTGTACTTTTGTTTTGGATGATTAAAATAAAGAGCGAGGCCAGGTGGACCACTAAATTTTCATCGTATCCAATTGTACAATATCCAATATCCAATATACAATATCCAATTGTACAATGATTATCAATTGAATTCAAAATTCACTTTTTATGTTACTTCAACTTTTCACAACTTTATTCCATCAAGTCCCTCGTATCTCATAAAATATTAATCTTACCATTAATTTTATTACACCAATGGAAACATCATTGAAAACCCCTATGACTTTTAACAAACAAAATACTCAATTAGTTAGAACATAAAATTTTACTAATTACCAAAAGTATTTTTAAGTTTAAACAAGATTTTTGGTTCTGTACATGCTGACAGATATGGTGCTTACAGAAAAGTTGCACCTACTTGGGTAGAATAAACAATAGTCCAGCTGTAAACAAATGGAATATCTAAAGGTGAATTATTAACAGTGTAAATGTTCAATATGGGCACTCTTTTTTGAAAATTCAAGCCAAAGATATTTTGAGGATTTAATTTTTTGAAGCGTTCCTTTCTTACATTAAATATTTCATACCAAAGATTTTTTTGTTCACTTTGGATTAATCTCTAAGATTTATACTAGTTTCAAAATCTTTATGACTTTTTTTTAGCCGTTTGTAATAGAAAAATCAAAATTTTAGCAGGTAAACGTTAATTTTACATTGGTGATAACTTATTTTTTAGAAATTAGGTACATGTTTTCACAGAACTTTTGTACAAGCGCCATATCTGTCACTATTTACACAACCAAGAAAATCATGCTTAAAATTTAGACAGGAAATTTGGAATCTCGTATATAGTTATCCTAACCAGTGATTTTTTTTTTTTTTTGCTTTTGCTTTGCATAATAGTAAAAAATGAATCTTATTGGGTTATTAACGTTCATTCCAATGAAATAATTAACAATAGAATTAATATTTGATGAGATATGGTGGATTTATGAAAAAAAGTTGTGAAATGTTTTCATATAACCTGAAAAGTGAAATATCTCGAACAGAATTGAGAATCAGGTTTTGGACAATAGGGACGACTTTTCAGTCCAATTTGTAGGATAACCTACTGAAGTAGCGGCATCTGTTAGCGAGGCATCTTGTATAGATGAATAATAAAAATCCAAACTAAGTATTCCTTGTAATTTATGTAAATATTAGGTAATAATCATTTCAGTTAAATTTTGTACATATTCTTGTAATTGTTTTATGAGAGTTCGAAACAGCAGAGGTTTATATTAACCCTCGGTGTGATTTTGAAAAGCACTCCATTTGAAGTATGTCGGGTTCGAAGGCAGGGCCGCTGGATTCGAACCCGGGACCTTTACCTTACAGTGATGAGCGCCGTGTCAACGCCTAAACCGTTGAAGCCACCGACGCCCCCCTGTATTCTTGTAATTGTAATTGTTTATAGGATAATTTTTAATTGTTGGCAACTATATGGATATTATTGATGACATTATTATGATACATTTAGGATAAATAAGTAGTTGTATTGGCTAAACTGTATAGAATAACAAGACTTTCGTATGGCATTCGAAAGTTCATTTTGTGAGAAACCATTTGTCTCAATACTGTAAATTCATATATTTTAATGTTGTTAAATTTAAAAATAAAAATTAAATTGTTGTATTGACGATCGTTGCGGCAAACTGAAGGAAGTAAGTGTTTTCTTTCATATCGACCTTTATCCTAGAGTTTTAATACAATATTAAATAGCGTCATATAAATTCATAAAATAAGATTTTAATTACTTCACGTTGGGCGTTACGTGGTGTTTCGAGTGTGACGCAAGACACTGTGAAGATTGGCCGTCCGATGAAATATTTTTTTTGTTTCACGTTTAATTATATTTCCATTAATTTCAATAAAAATTCCTTGTAAAAATGAAGAAAATCAAAACTTTGAAATTGTAACTTTATTAAGCACTGCAGTTTTATTAATTGTGGATTTGACCTTTGTAAGGTCACATGTAAGGCAGAGCGAGGCCTGGCGAACCACCTGATGTTTATGATAAGTTATTAAGCCATCTATTAATTTATTTTATTTTGCAGAAATAAAGTCTTTAAATTCATGAAATAATTTTTTTATTCTTTAAAATATCATTTTATTTTATATCAGATGTTAAGCAGTGTTACTGGATGTGACGCGAGACAAAGCGAAGCTAGTCGGACCAATTCTACATGAAAATAATAATTTGTAATTTAATTTAAACAGTTTACTTTAAAATTATTTAAACAAAAAAACTTTTTATATGTCTTAGACTTACGTGAGAGGTTTAAGCAGACAATCTTATTATATTATCTCAACAAAAAATTACTTAAGTGCAAACTTATGCAATAACTATTTGAGAATGAACTGCTTGAGTCAAAGTTTATTTACATCTGTATTGTATCCAATCAACATATGTTTTGTAATTCAACCAGGCTCTGAAGACTACCCGAATAAAGGTCGAAACGTCGGCAAAAAATGAAAAAATATGTTTTTCTAAACTATCATTCTTGACCGCTCCTAACGAATAATTCATAATAATTTATTATGAAATAAACTTACAATAAGCGAAAATTTGTAAATGAAAAAATATAATTTGTAGATTGGCGTCATAAAATCATAAACTTAAAAAATGTAAATACAACTTGTAATTTATTTTCAGAAGTTTCATCACGACCTTTCAAACAAACCGGAACGGTTAGTATGATCTCCAATGTTGCGAACCCCTGAAAAAAAAACAACCTCGCATCTATTGTGACGCATGACAGAGCGAGACCAAGCGGGCCTGAGATGTTTAATTCGGATCGTGCTATTGCAATTAAACCTAATTTAGTATAATGACTTACATTAGGTTTCCAATAATCGTTTGATATAGAATAATTTTTTTAAATTAATTATTACTAGCATTGATTTGATTATAAACATAAAATAAATTAATAAACAATTTAAAAGATATGTAATATAATGACTTATTATACTATTTTATATATACTTATATACTATATTTGACTAATTAAACATAAATAAAAAAGGATTTTATAATACTAGTCTTGGTTTTAATTTCCTCACTGATATTAGAAATGAATGATTAAAAAACTCATGTTACACTATTTTTTGTTTTTCAAGTGAGAACGATAATGAATTCACAGGAGTGTAATTAAATGTAATTATTGTAATGCAGTCGGAACATGGCCCTATTGGGCAAACCTGATGCAACATTTGTTTTTGTGAGAAAGTCAAAATATGAGATCGTGCGTTTCTGCACTTGCTTCCCAAACAGAGACTGCATCGGACATAGCAAACACACCAAAGGTCCCTCGGGTCACGCTGACTTTACGTAAGTCACAAAAGATTCTCCAGCCGCGTGCTTCACACTGCTTTCACATCTTTTCGATAGGTCATATTATTGTTGTTTGGACGTCTCGGACGTTTTGGTCTGTGGAGGTTTTCAACCTTTTCCGTCTTCAGAGCTAGGTGAGGTATTCTGTGGTACAATTAAACTCATACAAATCGGCCCGCTATGAGATAGCAGTGCAAGGCAGAATACTTTTACTTCCCAAAAGCCTAGTAATTCAATGTCACATTCACACGCCATTCTTTTGTAAAAGTGGAGCCTAATAGGGATTAATCGTGAGAGCTTTTAACCTAGAACCATTTAAAACTTAGTTTTTCGACATGCAACTCACCCCCTGAAGGTTATATTTGAATGTACTGCATGAAATTATTTTGTAACATTTGTAATATTTGTAACAACAGTTAGAAATGTAACTTCATCTGTCAAATAAATGACGTACTTAAAAATACTAAGATAAACAAGGTAAATTTAACTGAAAAATTGTAATAAGCATTTTTGTGGTTTTCATTTACCCCCAAGGAAATGTTCTATAATGAATCATATAGTAATAGCTATGGTGTTTTGCGCTGATGATAACTTTAAAATAGGCTAAAAGCTTGGCAGTAACAATTACATTAATAATAACTAAGTGAAATAATTTCCTGGAATTTATTATACATGATCACCCCGTCCAACTGTTCTCGCTTAAGTTTCGCTCAGACCCTTTCACCACCTTCATCGGAGGTTAGTAAAATGTCAAAAACCATCCGAAAAAAAACTCGCAAAAACGGCATCTGTCTAAGAAAAATTACAAATTTGTGAGTGAAATTCGAGAAGATTCGTGATTCTGATGACGGATCAAGGCCGAGGAGAATACAGCTTTCTTGAACTTTAGAGAGTGAGAAAAAAATATTGATTGCCGTTCTCCCAATATTGAAGATGCACATTTATTATTTTACACCTGTCATTATATGCGTTGAAACGTCGAATTTTTCAAAACGTACCATCGTATTTTGTCGTTTTTTAAACTACCTTTGGGGCTAATTACAAAATTATGATTGAAATAAATTGAACATAAAATAGTCATTCTACATTATTTTACTAACACTTTCATAAAAATTCCGCTGTCTACAAGTGGAAGTCAGTTGGTATTTTTCATTGCGACCTCAAAATTTTACAACTGGTTTCATTGTGCCTTTTCAAGAAATACAACACCTCTGACCTAGAAAACTAGGAAACATCAACTTACAGACACGCTTACCTTTGTACAATAGCATTTTTATAAAAGCATAACTGTTCAAAGACATATATTCACGATTTTCTTTTAAAGGATGTAGGACAGACTCATTGTGCACCGAAAGGTAATCAGATCGCTTTTAACTATCTTCTTCCTCTCATAAAGCTACTTATCCGCATCGTGTTTACGTAAACACTTTCTTTGCAGTTGTACGTGATGACAGGGTATCTTTCCAGGAACTTCTGTCCGGCACGTAGATCCTTGCAATCTAGTCGTCAGCCACTAAGCGATTCGCGTTC